TAAAACTAAACGATCATAATGCTAAGCTAACGGATGGGTCTTGTCCATCACATCATTCTCCTAATGATGTGATCCTGTTATCAAATGACAACCCATGTCCATGGTTAGGAAATCTTAACCATCTTTGATCAACGAGCTAGTCAAGTAGAGGCTCACTAGGGACACGGTGTTTGTTTATGTATTCACACATGTATTTAGGTTTCCGATCAATACAATTCTAGCATGAGTAAATAAACCTTTATCATGAATAAGGAAATATAAAACAACAACTTTATTATTGCCTCTAGGGCATATTTCCTTCGAGCTATATAAAATTGTTGTAAATATGGCATGAATACTTCATAAATTATAGATACGTTGGAGACGTATCACCAGCAATGGCCGATTTCTTCATCACCCTAGAGCTGGACGAGCTCCCTTAACAATTGTCATGTGAGATCCTGGCGGACATTAGCATCAGGAGGCCCGCACCTTCAGGCCGCTGCCACACGCCCCCGAGTTCCGCTGTTCTAGAGAGAGAATGAGAGGCGCATGCTCAGATAGACAAAGAGGGGTGTTGCGTCTTGATTTGTTGCCTCAACCAACGATGCCTTTTCCTGTCGCCGCTGATCCAGAGATAGAGGAACAAGATGATTGGGAGAAGGTAGGATTGGTCGATGTAAAGAGGAGCTGCGGCACCGCGATCGGAAGGGTTGACCTGGAGGTAAGAATTGGAGGAAGGAGGGAAGAGGACTATGACACCAAGATGGCGACACATGAGGCGCCATCCTGATCGGCCGTGAGAGACTTGCGGCGGGTAGGGATGCGGGAGGGGTAGGCTTAGGTTTCAAGTGGGTTTCAATGAGTTTCATTCTCTACAAGTTCTACTGTTGAGATAATAAAAATCGGCGAGGACGTGGGAGGCTTTACCAAAAACGGTGGGAGGATGTGCGTAATCAAAGGAGAAGAGATAACCAACGAACTACGTACGGACTCACCTTTTAGGAGTAGAGATCTTGTAACAAACAAAGGCACGAGGAGTACAACTAGTTACACCCTCCCTTCCCTAAAAAAAGGTTACTCCTTTCATTCCAAAATATTTAAAGTTATGGGTTTGGCTTAAGTCAAACATTTTAAAGTTTAGCCAAAAATGTAAAAAAATATACTAACATTTACAACACCAAATTATCTTCACTAGATTCAGAATAGCATATATTTTCATAATATATATTTGATGTTTGTAGAAATTAGCAAATTTTTCTATAAAATTGATCAAACTTAAAGAAGTTTGATTTTGGACAAAAACTTCAAAATTTTGTAATGTGATCGACAGGAAAAAATTGTTACCACTTGTAGTGTTGCCAATGGTTGCCCCCACAACGACAAATCCTAGATCCGCCATTGCTCCCAATGCAATTTCCTTTGGTAAGGCGTCTAAAGGTACGCAATTTCCTGTGTTCGCGTTTAGGTCTTTTAACAACTTTGTATCATTTGATAGCACAAAGCAGCGGTTAATCGGACATTCCAGAGAGTGAGAGAAGCTGTATGAGATGAAAACCTCATGTGCGATTTTGGAAGAGAGATTTTTTGAATAGAATGAACGACCGAAAGAAAATTATGCGAAAGCTTTGCAAAAATTATTGTGAAGCTACTCGACTAGAAATCAATCCTTACAACTTGAGTTATATCTCTACTATTTATCTCTACTACTTAAAGGAACATAAGGTTCTCATTTCACCTTTTCTCCCACGTCCCTTCGTCCAACCTTTCATGTATATGATAATCCATCATTTTAATTTATTTTATCAAACTTCTAATCAAAATATAAGGTAATTCACGGTCAGAATTTGATAAACATTTATTTACACAATCGCATTATTATTGATAGGTAGATCACAAGTTAACGTACTAGAATATTTATATCCCGTTGCAATGTGCGGGCATTGTTCTAGTTACTCTATAAATATACAACCTAGAGTTGTAGGACAGAGAATAGAATAAACTATATTACCGCACATTCGTTTGCTTTTTTTTAGGGTGCACATTCGTTTGCTCTTAATTTCTTGTGTTCGCGTTTAGGTCGTTGAACAACTTTGTATCATTTGATTGCATTGAGCAGCAGTTAATCGGACATTCCAGAGAGTGAGAGGAGCTGCATGAGATGAAAACCTCATGTATGATTTTGGAAGAGAGATTCTTTGAATAGAATGAATGGCCGAAAGAAAATTATGCGAAAGCTTTGCAAAAATTATTATGAACCTACTCGACTAGAAATCGATCCTTACAACTGGAGTTATATAGGGTCTGCTACCCCTCCTCCTGAGTCGTCCCTCCCGAGTCGCCCCCCGCGTGGCGGCCGGGAGGCCCCCAGATCCCGTCGGCCGGACTCCCCCTCTCCTCCTCCTCCCTCACCGCCGCCCAAGGGCGCGGCAAGGCGAAGCCTTGCCTTCACCGGCGGCGAGGGGCTCCTGGTCCTTTGGCTTGTGTGGGGCTGGCGCAGGCCAGAGCGTGGCATCGGGCCGGACGTCACGTTGTGTGGTGGCGGCGCTTCGGCGATTCCATTCCTCCGTGGCAGGTGGCTTCGCGGTTTGGTGCATCGCGGTCGCCAGGGACGATGGTGGCGTGACCGGATCGGTTGGCGGCGTCGCGGCCGGATCTGGGCCCAGGCGTGGGCCTTGGTTGCTGGATTGTCGTTGGTGAGGTGGCGGGTGTGACACGTCGGCAGCTGGGCGGATCCACCAGGATTCTACCCTCGTCTGGTCCTTGACAGCGTGGGCAACTCCGGGAAAACCCTAGATCTCCTTGGGATAGAGCTGCGGTGCTTTTGCATCGTAGTCCCTCTTCAGGGCATCGTTTTGGAGTTTGCTCCGGTTGAAGGGACCAACAACGCCGGCGGTGCACGCCTGGTGGAGCAACTACCGATGAAAATCGTGCCGACTACGGTCATGGCGGACGATGGCGACATTTTAGATGTCGTTTCCTTGTCGAGGCATCGTCGTTGCAGTTTGCGTCATCAGGCTCGGGATGTTCCAGGGGAAACCCTAGATCTGGGTCTCTCGGATCGAACAATGATGGTGTTTTATCGCTTTCCCTCCTGAGGGTTCTGGAGCAAGTGTTGGTTGGAGGGACAAGAGGAGGAGCGGTGTTACATCTACCGCAACACCGACGGCGGATCCAGACGGTATTGGCGCTGCGGAGGTTCGGCGACGGGCGCGTGTGGACGAATATGTGCAGGATGGTGGAGTTGTCCGGCACCGTGGTGGCATCGATGGCAGGCCAGGCAAGGTCAATGCGTCAGTTCCTGCTCTGGAGATGGACCGGCGGAAGATGGCGGCGAGTGCCTTTGAGAGTGCGTCGGACCGGTCTGTGACCCAGTCCCGGTATGTGGTGGGGCTGGGGGATCCGGCTTTAGATGTTAGGCTTGGGGTGCGATGTCTGTTTGGTATTAGGCTTGGACAGTCGGCACACCTTCATCAAGGGGATATGAGTAGCAACCAGTGTTGCCTAGATGTTGGCTTCTGCCTTACTGATGTATTTCTCTGTCTGGTTTTTGTGAATAATTAATAAAATGGTTGCATGAATTGTTCAGATGCAAGATGCAGAGGCCGGGTATTTCCTCCTTTTCAAAAAAATATTACTCTATAAATATACAACCTAGAGTTGTAGGACAGAAAATAGAATAAACTATATTACCGTGCATTCGTTTGCTTTTTTTATGGGTGCGCACGTCCTCCACGCCTGCGCGGCTGCGCCTTCCTCGAGCGCACCCCTGCCGGTGCCGATGTTGGTAGTGCTGGCGTCGGGCTCACCGCTGGTCCACCCGTGCGTGCCAACGGTGATTCCGACCTCGTCCTCGTCCTTCGCCTCGTATCGCAGCACCTCGTTGACCCGGACGCCCCCTTCCCACTAGCCGCCGCCACCATGTTCTCCTCCTCCCGTCGGAGGAGCGGGCGCCGGAGGAGCTGGGATGTGGCGATGGGGCGGCGGCGGTGGCAACCCTAGCTACCCACCCAGGGAAGAGAAAACGAGGAGAGAAAAAAAAGGGGTGGGGGCTCGAGAAGGTTTGCTTCGTGAGGAAGCGAAGGCGCCCGACGAATTGCTTTTTTTTTCTTTCCCTTTCGATCATCTAGCGATACGAAACAATCTGTTTTTTCTTTCGTACCTGTGATAACGTGGCTATCGCGGAAAGGCGCCCTTGATGCGTATCTTAATGTGTTTGATGATTACCGCGCATTTGTTTGCTTTTTTTCTTTATGGGTGCGCATTCGTTTGCTCTTTTTTTTGAGGGGTGCGCATTCGTTTGCGGGTAGCGACACCTAAACAGGCCGTGTCTTTTTGTGCGAACTGTTGTTCGGCCCGTGGCCCAAGTCGGTGGTAACCTCCTATGGGCCAGTTCTTTTCGCCCTATAATTCTGGAGAATTATGATTCTGGAAACTGCTCGCAGAATCGTCTGCCCACAGAATTGTCTGTCCAGTTCTTTTTTGTAATTCTAACCTGTAATTGTTGTATGAGGTCGCTCGGTGGGGCTGGCCCGGTGACATATTGGCTGTAATTTAAGTCCCCAATTGGGGTAGTAGTTCAAAACGAACAATTTTCTTTTAAGGGCCCGGCTAGAATTGCCAGAATTGCCGAGTTTCCATGATTCTCAAATACACTAGCGATTTTGATAATTCTCGGATGATTCCTGGGGAAGAAACGAGTTTTTGCGATTGTGATTCTCCGGCCAGTAATTCTTCAGAATTAAGCCAAAAGAACTGGGCCATAAAACGAAGAGCAAGTCTGCAAAACCTAGCTCCCGTCCCAGGCCCCGCCGCACAACCCCCTGCCCCTTGTCCATCCCCTCGCCGCCGGTTTGTCCCAATACCATACAGACCTAGCGTGAAGGCTTCTTGATCACCAATTTCAGGTATGATAATCGTCAAAAGTCTCCATCTTTACGTTCTTGCCAATTTGTTTATTTTCTCCTTTTATCAGAGAGGCTGAGAAGGTCCAAGTTTGTTGTGGTTTTCCAGAGACGAAGATGAACAGGCGGTTTGTGAATCTGGTGACGCGGAACTGGACCCAAGGTGTCTATTCGGTGCGCCGCATGGACCCTTACCACCATTTCTTCTACGGGTCAACAGAAGCTGCACTTGGGGCAGCAGATGAGGCTTGCAAGATGAAGGAATCATTCCCAGCGATGCAGATCCAGGACCTGCCGAGCCCAAGCACGAACTTCACTGCAGCTGCCCCAGGTGGCACCTTGGATATGTTCGCGCTCCTCACCCCCCGCCCCACCAGCGATGGCAGAATGATTTATGCCAATACGATCGGCGAGACCCGGCTGTACGACGCCGACAAACAGGTGCACACCACCCTGGGCCGTCTCAACACGCCTAAGGGAGTCAAACCCATGTGCCTCTCCATCGCGCACCCTGGCGGCGACGAAGACAGCATTTATGTGTTGGATACCGAACCCTTGAAGGACGCCCGTCGATGCTTTGAGGTCCTTGAGCCCACGCCCAGGGAATTCAGGAGCAGCAGCTTGATGCCGCCATGGTGTTGGCGAGTTCTTCCACCGCCTCCTTTTGTCCTCGAACCTTGGTACCAACCATCTTCTATTACCTCCTTTACCACTGTGGTCAATGGCGATGGCTGCTCCACCATCTACATATCATGTGGTGGCCGCATAGGCACCTACAGCTTTGAGACGGCATGCTCTGACTCTAGACACTGTCTAGGATGGAGGCTCTCGGACAAATGGAGCCATGTTGGGGAATGGAAGCTGCCCTTTAATGGCAGAGCTCAGTACGTCCCTGAGTTTAACCTATGGTTTGGATTCTCAGACTCAAGCCCCAACCACCTGTGTGCCATGGACCTCTCTGCCATGGACAATGGACGGCAGCCCACAGCACCCAAAATATGGGAAGATCTGAACCTGCCTGATGGAGAGGCGTGGCTTCCGAAACAGCTCGAGCTTCTCTACCTTGGCGACCGCAAGTTTCTCACCGCTAAGACCTTTGCAGAAGGAGAAATAGGCGGGTGCTTTTCTGTGCTCACCGGCGTAGAGATGATTGCTGGCGCCGGTGATGACCAGCACACCCTTCAGATGGTCAAGCACAAGTGCGCACGTTTTGTCTTCACCGACGAGGACATTGAGTGGGTGCTCTGAATGAATGAATAATCTTGTGTCGGTGATGAACTGATGGTCCAGATCCTTGTCGCAGTCGCATTTGTTATGCGATATCTATTTACTTACTTTTAGGTCTATTTGCACCATTGAGGATTTTTGTGTTTGGAGGGATTTCCCTGTTTTTGTCTTTACTTTTCTTTGTAAAGACAACATTGTACTATCATGTTAAGTGATCTTGGATGTTGATTTCTACTAGTTTTTAGTGGAGCCTGGTACTTACATATTCCACTTATAATCCTGCCAAGAAAGAAAAATAGATTTTCAAAACAACCTTCTCCTCCATGATGATTTGGTAAGAAACAACCTTCTTCTCCCTGATGATTGTAGGTAAGAAACAAGCTTCTCCATGGCGAGCAAATCTGCAGTTGGCGAGACTGATGGTTGCCATACCCGCACTCATATAAACCCAATCTCTCTGCATGGACGGTCCAGGCTACGCTAGGTAAACCAATCTCTACTCCCTGCTCCCCCAAGGTGAGTCTTTGCTTGGCGCCTCCCTTGGAACTCGTGCACAACCTGGGCAAACAAATGTATACTCAGAATGCAGGAAGGCAGCATATAGTAGTAATTTAGAAACAAGGTAGCTTTTATTAATGTCAGCTGTGGCATTTATTTTAGGTTACATTGAAGAAGATGCCGGTTGTCATGACATGATTCATAGGTTTTCATATCCTATTATTTTTATTTCAGCACGATAATTAATCACTTTAAAATTCACAACAAACAAACAAATTTAAGAAAAAAGAATAAACACTGCACACTCAATCGTTTTTCTTAAACATCTATCTGTTTTCAATCGTTTTTCCTTCACATCTATCTATTCTATACTACCTGCTGCCCTTAAAAGTATAACCAAATAAGGAAACATCTTATCGAGGAGGTGGCTAAGCTGGATAGAATTGTTGTGGCCACAGCAATCAAACCTTGTTTGGTCTGGCCAAGTATCAGACACACGCAAGGAACTATTAAATGTAGAAAATATGCATTCAAAAAGAGTACAACAGATGAAATCAGAAGGTACATATCATGCCACACAATCATCTGAGATAAACATCAATAATCGTTATCATCATACATTTGAATTGCATTGTATATTACATTGATAAAAAGAACTGAAAGTAGGCCGTAGAATTTTCTGTCTGACTTAAACAAAATAAGCAAGCTTTGTCAGTCACTAGCAAAGATGATGTTCTTGTTGAGGATGAATTAAGCAAATCTGAAAGAATAGCAAAAGAATGCCACTAGAGAGACAGCATTGGAAACATTGGAAGAGATACATGCTTTCTCTTCAAATTTCTTGGAGCTATTATGTTCTATATTCCTGTCATCCTTAAAGGACGGAATTGGATTCTTACAAGTATAATATTGTTGCTGTTTACAGTCTATATATGCTGTCATCTTATTGTCGCGCTTGATCCAATTTTACTCCTTCTGCGTTTTATTTTTCTGAAGCCTAGTTTTTGCTGTGAAATCAAACTATCCTGATTGGTACCTATTTAAACATTAGAGGAAATGTCCAGTTGTGTATCTTATTTACTTCTGAAAAAATCATTGATGCAGAGAGAATACTTCAAGCAAGGAAAGATAGAGCAGTTCCTACAGATTCTAGAGGAAGGATCAGGCCCAGGTTAGTTTTTATTATAATTCTTTTCCTGCACTATTATTTATGATCTGAACAATAATATCACCTTTGATTGTACCACACTACTCCCTCCGTTCCTAAATATAAGTCTTTTTAAAGATTCCACCTATGTTTTAAGGCGACGCTTC